CAAAAGTCATAGAATATAAGCTGCCGTTCTGACCGCGGGCTTCATGCGCATTCCAAATGCGTGCGTTGAAGTGTAAGAATATACTGGTGGGGCCCCAAAGGGAATGGCAAGAAGTTGCGACACGCACATGTTTTTTTTGCAGACAGTGGTTACTTGTTGTACATCGTCCGGGCAACCAAACAGCATGCCGGAATATACACAAATGCCGGAGTGTCCAGTTGGCCTGGATGCCAGCATGGCAGTTGCAGGGCTGCAGATTGCCTGCCCGGAATTCGGGAGACTGACACCCAGGTTGATCTTGCTTTCAACTTGTTTTGGCATGGGGGTCCGTTTTTTTTTCTCATTCACCAGCAAAAGGAGGGCGTCCTTTTTCCCATTGCCGCTGAGCTTGTGAGTTTAAGTCTGGGCGTACGGTCTACGCGAGAATTCGGATACAGGGGCATGCGCAGATATTGCTGAGCTGTCCCGCTGTAGGCTGCAGGTGTTTTTTGTTTCATTCGACAACTTCCTTTGAGTGGTTTGCAGGGGAACCAACAGGAGAACCATCATTTTAGGGGTTCCCCCTCCCCCCCCCAAAGAAAAACACACACACCCGTGTGACGAAGCATCCAGAACATCGTGTTCCCCACTTCTTTGGCCTTCCCTTTGCGCTGCAGGCCCTCAGACGGAATGGCAGGCGGGTTTGAAGGTTCGCCGATGAACTTGGGTCTCTAGATTTTATTGAGTTGTTCAGTGGCACCAATTCTGTTTTTCCATTTTTTTGGTGGCTGCCCCACTAAAAATGGTCTTCCCCAAAAAGGGTTCCCTTTTTTGTTCCTCCAGGGTCACTGAACAACTGAGTTTAGTAGCCTAGTGGGAGTGGGTGCATTTTGCTCCCAAACTAATTGTTGCGTTGTGCTGTTTTCACCGTTTGTCGTTGTTATTTTTTGTTAAACAAATGCAGAGGGCAAGTTTCACCAAGCGTTTATCCACGGCAACTTCAAGTCAGGTGGCCCTTAGTTGCTCTTAGTTGGTGGTTTGGATGGGTGGTTTGAAGATTTGAACCCCCTCCTCAACCCAAACCACGAATCCAATCTACCAAGAGGGGAGCTGAGAAAAAGTCTTGGTGCCTTTGGCATGCTGCGCTTGGAGAGGGCAACGCTGGCAGCCGCGAGCCTTTCCAATCGTTCATCACGTGTTTGGTTCGCCGAGGAAGGTATGAATATACGGGAAAAGGGCAGCTTTTTTTTGTGGGTTTACAGGGAAACCGAAAGGAACCCCACCATTTTGGGGGGGACTCCAACCAAAAATTAGACGTTTGGACCTGCATAGTCGGGTCACCCACGTCCCACGTGGGCGGAGATTGCAAGAGAGGCAAGTATTTTACGAGATTGCCCAGAGCCTGAAATGGCCACACCAGCTTCAGGGTCCAACACATAGGTGTCCTTTTGGTTGTGTTGGCAAAAGACTAGATGGCGATTCCTGGTTTACCAGGTGATTTACTCATCTACTGTACCAGGGAAACCCATCTATTTCCCCAAAAAAAGGACACCTATGCTCGAAGCTGTGGGCTGTGGGTCAAAACCAATGGGATCCCATTTTGGGTGGTAGGTGAATTCACTCATTTTAAAACCAATTTTAGCGGCCATACCAGCTTCAGGGTCTAAAATTGTTTCTTAGCAACCCTGCAAACTGGCACCCGAAAAGGAGTACCCTAACAACGGCCGTGCACACGCAATAGATGAATATGTTTATCTATGTGTGTGTAATCTCACTTCCTGAGTTCCTGGGCGTTCAATTTGTCGGGAAGACCAAAGTAAGGCGGGAAGCAGTTCAGACACTTGGCCACTCCAGTCGACGGGAAGAGAGTTTAATGGTGTGTGATTTTATTTTTTCAGGGATAGCCCCTTTTTGGCAGTTGACTCACCCAGCCAGTGGGCGCACTTTGCACCTTTTTTTCCTTGGTGACTCTCCATTTATTTTAGTGGTGGCCCAAAAAAAGTCCGCACTTTTTTTGGCACTGGCCAAGTGAGTTGACAAGGCCACCTGGAAGGTTGTTTTTTTCCCCATTCCGGGTTCCATGGCAGACTTCAACCCTGGACGACCTGGCCCGGTGCTCCAAGCGTGCAACCCGGCAACCGGAGAGGGAAGGGCGCCTGCCTACGCCGGCCTACAAGAAGAGCGGCTTGGCGGTGGATCTTTGTCTAGGTCCCCCAGCCAGGTGCCCTTTTGCCGTTTCTTTTGGGGGGTAGATTCGGTTTCCCCTAGTAAAATGACTACGGGAAAAAGAAACGGTACCCTTATTCCCACCTCTCTACTGGAGGACCTAGTTGTGTGTTGTTTCCATCTTTTTCCACTGCTCACAGGGATTTATGGTTGAGAGTTAACTGTTTCATGTAGCTAGCGAGAATAGGGGTGTCCCTCTTTTAGTGGGGGATTCATCACTTGGGTGACACCTTTTGATTAACTTGCAAATCGGTGCGACAGGTAGGGAATGCCCACGAGTCCGGGTGTTGGGAATGAACCGTTTTGGGATTCCCTGAAAGGAAACCATAGGATGGATGGTTTATATGGGGTCATTGCATTTCTTTATTTCGCCACTGGTGGATGAATCGGGGTGTCCCCTTTCGGTGGGGATTCCTCACTTTTGTGGGTGACAGACCTCTAAGCAGATTTCCCCAATCCTTGGAGTTTTTTTCGGGGCAAGCTCAATCCACGTTTGGTCGGCTTTGGTTTCGAAAGGCCTCCCCTTTGCGCCGTGGCTCTCTCTGAACTGAATGCGGGGGATTGGCGAACAGGTCCGATTTTGGAACAGTGACCTGTGGTCAGTCAAGAAGTGGCCGACCCCCAAACTCTTTCAACAAAAGGTTTGCAGATAGGTTTGCAGATATCAGCGGCATAGGCCATAGGATCCCACTTTTTCCCCTGGACGTTTCCCACTTTTGGGGTGACCGGTTTAGCAGACCGTGGGGGAGCTCAGGCGCTGAGCTGGGGTTTGGGTAAGTAGTTGCATTTTGAGGCCCCTTTTTCAGGCTGGACATTCCCTTTACACTGTTTTGTATGTCCCTTCTCAAGATTCGATGTTTGAGGGTGGGTGTTTCCCGTTTGGCGTCGCAGAAAGGACACCTTTTCCACAATTAATGCTCAGGAACTGGACCGCTGATTGATGTCGTCGCAGACTCCTTTGCCACCATCGCGGAGGAGCAGGCACGGGTTGCATCGGCACGTGGCTGCTGCAAGCGGCTGGCGCCTGCATGTTCGATAACCCCGCATTGGGTTTGGATTGTGATGACATGTGGGTCTGTCTTTTTTTAAGGGAACCCCCCCCACCCCAAAATTGTGGTTTCCCTTTTGGTTTTCCTCCAAAAAGCATCAAAAGAAGATCACACAAATGTGTACTCGTAGAAATTCTATGGGGTTTCTCTTGGCTTCCTCTGAACCATTTCGTCCTAGTTGCTCCGTGGCACCCTCGTTTCTTTCCGTTTGGGAGTCCCAACTTCTCCCGCCCCTCCACTAGAAAGACCCCAAGAACATCTAAGAACCCTTCTTGGAAGGTTCTTCGAGGAGGGGGGGCGCTGTGTTTCCTAGGTGTCCTATCACAGGGTCGCTGGTGACTCCTTCGCCTCTTGCTCCTTCTCGCTCGCAGGGCAGCGACTCGGAGTCCTCCTTCGGCGATGATGCGTCTGAGGGCGATACACCGGCCATCATGTCCGGTACCCAGCGAGAATTTTTCGAGTCTACTGCGATTGGGTTGGATCTTTAAACTTTAACTTTGTGGACGCCCCTTACTTTTTTGCTAATTCGCAAACAGTTAAATATTTTTGCTGGGGGTATCTAATGTTTTGATATATATATATATATATGTCCTTCTAATTTGCAAAAGGTTAACAGTTTTTTTGCTCGGGGATCTAATATGTTCATAGATTTCCTTCTAACTTGAAAAAGGTTAAAAGTTTTTTGCTGAAAGATCTGCAGCACCCAAGTCGAGTAGCTCACTTTCGCAGCTTTCAGTTTGCCGGGGTCTGGGGAAGAATACATGTTTCTTCTCCGGCGTCTCTTTCGCGGATCCTGTTGGACAGTGGATTCCACCCTCTATTTCTCCCCCCCCCCCCGGGAAGAAAAAAACAAAAAAGCACAGTTCCCCTTGGGTTTGCCAAACAATACTCCAAGTTGGCTCTAGCACCACCACTCTAGGAGTCTCTTTCTAAGGTTGGGAAACGGCTGCCTGTTAGCTCACGCAATTTGCAGAGGCAGAGCAACAGGCAAATGGATAATTCACAGTGCCATGACTTGTGGCAACATGGACATTGCTGGACTTGGGTCTTCAAGGCTTCGCGGCACCGCGCTCAAGACCGCATTGGCTTTCAGCTACAGGTAGGCGAGCAGAAAAGCAGCATGCATCCCATCTAGCTTCAAGCAGGGCCTTTTAGACTGGCCAGTGCCTTGCTGGTTCTCAGTCGTTTTGATTCCGAATGTTGTTAGAAAAACCAGTTGGCCAGTTGGATGGTTTCGTGGGTCAACCAGATGCAGTCGAACCCTTCGAACCCACTTGAATTCAGGACTCCGTTTGCCTAAGGGCTCCAAGGGACAACTAAAGCTCTATCATCTTGCTCCACGTAAACGTTGCATCTTGACCAGTTGGCCCCGGCTGTTGGAACCCATAGTTACTACATAGTTGATGACAATTCTGGTTGTTTTCCACTAAAATCGCAGCACTTTTCGAGGTTCCCTTTTAAACAAGGCGTCTTTGTGCCGCACGCCGGCAGACAGGCCAGTTTTTGCTTTTTATCCGCTGTGTTCTTTCTCTCTACCTTGCTTGCAGTCAGCCAGAATGTATCTTACTCGAAGGTTTTTCGGGCCTGGCCAACCCGTTTTTCCACCAGATCAAGCCCTACTTAAAGGGGCAGGGTACTTGGTAAGTGGTTAAGCCAGGTTATAATCCGTTTACCATGGTTACACCGTGAGGGTTGTAACCTGGCTTACGAACCGCTCACCAGGTACCCTGCCCCTTTAAGTAGCCCATGGCTATGGGCAGAGCGCCCTGGTGGGCGCTGCTCTTCTCGGGCCTGAGTCTGGGGTCCGCGGCGGCGCTGCTCGTGCGCCTCATGGCCTGGTGGAAGAACTACTCCAGGCCGGCGACGGGCGACGGGCGTTCGGCGACGGGCGTTGGGCGTTTGGTTTTCTGGGTCCCCGAGCTAGGTGCCCATTAATTTTTTGGGGGTTAGCTAGGTTAGCAAGGTTAGCAAGGTTCTCTCCCTTGTTTTGGTTGGGAGGGTTCCCCTACTAAAATAGACTACAGAAAACAGGGTAGCCTCATTCTAACCTCTCTACTAAAGGACCTAGTTTGTTCGGGGCGAAGCCGAGCGGCGCCATGGGACATGGGACCTGAAAAAACGGGGGGGGGGGGGGGGTGGTCCAGCAAACGCGTGGGAATTGAACAAGGGCGATTCTGGTGCATAGGTTCATGGTTGTGGTGCTCTGTTTTTCTTGTTTGTTTTGCTTGTTTTGGGGTTGGGGGGGGGGGGAGACGGCCAGTTTTTGTGATGCCACCGCAATCCCCTCAGTGAGAAAGTAGTCTGTGAATCAGCCGCTGGGTTATTTCTCACAACCTTTCCATACGTTTCATAGGCTGCCAAGGGTTTCCCTGGTTTCCTGTCTCAGCAGGGCAGCAGCTCTTCTCACCAGGGCAGAAGCTCTCCCATGCGCCTGACGAAAGGCACTAAGAAAGTGTCAGTCATGGGGTTACCCTGACCGGCTAGAGAAAGTGCCAGCTCAAAGCCTGCGTTTGACTTCCAATGGTCGGAGTGGTTAAAACAGGCCACCCGCGATATGGTCCCTTTGAAACGCTTTGGAAGGCACAATCAAGCCAGCAAGGAGGATTGACATGGCACAGTAAAATTGCAAAATATTTTGTTGAACTGAAGCAGAACATAAGGACCCCCCTCCCAGTTTCTTTGAGCTCCAGTGGGCCTTTGATCAACCCCCCCCGCCTCGCAAGGCACCTGGCGCTACGTAGCCGCGCCCTGGCCGGCGCCGCCGCCGCGCAAAAGGCACTGCCGGACGCGAAGCTCGGGGAGCTGGTGGCGTCCTTGTCGGCGCACGCGCAGGAAATCGAAAAACCGCCCCCCAACGCTCACTTCCTAAGACTGAAGCCCACGGTCCATCAACGACCCCTCGGTTTAACCGCTTAAGTTGTTTGATAAAAAAAGGGACACCCTTCCTCAAGAAGGAAAAAGGGGTGTTACGGGTTCCAACAATTTGGGGCGGAAGCTTGCTGCAAAATCAGCTCACATTTCAGTTTCTTGGAGAACCGCTCAAGAAAGTGTGTGTCTCCCGTGCAAAAAATGAAAAGAAGGGTCGACCTTAAGGTTTTGTCATACATCTCTCACGCATAAAGTCTAAAGTCTAGCTAGTGGAAGCCCTATCGCCGGGGCTTTCCGTTTCGCCTGGCGCGAAAAACAAAAAAAACAGTTCGCTCTTCCAACACCCCTTGGTGCCGCCAGTTGGATGGTGCAATAAGTAGGGAGTGGGGGAATAAACCTAGGGGTCCCCTATGGGTCCCCTTAAAGGAAGCCACTAGTTGGATGGTTTTTATCTCCCAAACTGTTTATTTACCACTAGAAGAGTCTTCTCACAAAGCCTAAGGTCCAGGGACTGACGCATGGACTGCTGCATTGCTCCAGGGTTGTAGGAAAGTGGCATTTGGGGTCGCTGAGATATCAAGCCTCTGGATGGGAATTAATCCCGCTTTGGTATCACAAAAAACACATGTTATTTGATGAATCACCAGGCCGGTGGCTTCCCTGTTGCCTTTGAAAGTGCCCCAAACCTGCAGGAGGTTTGGAGTAACGCTGAAAGTTTCAGTGCCCTTTTGGTAGTAGCGCCAAGTTGCCTCATGAGACCATTGACTTAAGCTGGGAAAAGTCTCCTCCAAAACGGTTTGTAGATTTTTATTTGTCCGGCAGGCGAAATCGGAAAAAAAGAATCGAAACTGTTCTTCTTCTTCTTCTTCTTCTTCTTCTTCTTCTTCATTTCGAATAAAAAAAAGAAGAACTAATCTAATCTGTTCTTCTTCTGCTTTTGGTGTGCCCCAGACGGCCAAGCATATTGAAGCATGCTCAAATTCAAAGGAACATTTGATGCTGAAGTCCTTTCGTTCGGGGAATCCAGGAGACCCGAGAAGCCACGGCCTCGCTGCGGCGCTCGGTTGCTTCGGCTAACGAAGCTGGCCGGCTTGCAAAATCTTCCATTGGCTTAAAGGATATTATTTTACTTTGTTGCTTTTAAAGGGGACTTGTACTGGAGGAAATTAAGCAACTGGAGGGGACCCCCTTAAGGAAATTAAGCTACTTGTACTGGGGACTTGTACTGGAAACATGTTTAGTTTTTCCAGGGAACTTAAGCAACTGGAGGAAATGAGTGTTTCTCAAAATGGTGGACCCCCTTTTGGTTGGTCATTTAATTAAAGGGGAACCGTAAGGACAACCATTTTGGAGACCCCGGTTAAGCGAAACCTTCACAGGGACAATTGAGTTCGTCTCTAAATGAATAATTGGGAGACGCCGCAATAAATGTGGTTTCCTTTTGGTTTCCCTCAAGAACAATGAAAACCACCCCAAAGGGAGGGCCAGTAGCTGCACCGTACCCTGGAAAAAGGCAACCATTTGATTACTTGCGCAACGAGATCTCACCGATTCGGGGTCAAACCATTCTGATGACGCTATTCGAGGTTTGGGATGTATAGTTCACCCAGACGAATCTCAACCTGGCTTGCGGCGGTGGTGGCGGTGGTTGCATGTGGTGGTAGTGGCGGTGGCGGTGGCGGTGGTAAAGGTGGTGGTCCCACAGTGGCCACAAGATGGGTTGGTGGTGTACAGCCGTGCCCATCACGGAGGTTCGGCCAATCACAGCGCACCATTGCGAGCAAGAGTTGGGTACAACGCATCAGTTGGCGGGGTTAATTTGTTGGTTAGCTTGGCAACCCTTCAAGGAGGTTTCCCCTCACACGGACCGCTTCCATTTGTTTCAGTCCATTTCATTTTCCCTTGTTGATTTGAAAGGGAATTTATCGCTACTGGAAATATGTGCTCATTATTTCCGGGGGGGGAAAGCGCAAATGGAAGACCATGATTCAAGCAATCGGGTTGCATGTGATTTGCTGCTGAGGTTGAGCAGCAGCAGCGGCTCTACCAGGTTGCGGCAGTGGATTTTCACCGAAAGCTGGATGAAGCCTGGAAGAGGACCGAATGTTTTCCATCCTTTTCATGAGATCTGAATAAATACGAATACACCGAGGCAACCGATCCGGGGACAAAACCAGCTCACCAATGATGAAGGTCCTTACCTGAGGATTGCCTACCGGCTTGTGAATTATAGCGAGTTGCCTAGACGAAATGTCTCATTGCCCTGAAGATTTAAACCCACCGCTGGACTACAAAAACAAGTGTTCACACCGCACAAACTGGGAACCTGCCAGGAAAAAATGTGAGTGCCATGCTTGATTTGAAGCCTTAAGACTTGCCTTACAAACGAGAGACATGTTTGGGAGGTACCGGGAAATCCCAACCAAGTCCCTTAAAAACGGAATTGGGGAGGGAGGTTATATTTGGAGATCTGCATTTATGGCAACCCAAATCATTTTCCCTGTGGAAGAGGGGCCCCTCACACCATGGCTGGAAGATAGCTTTCCTCAAGCGCCCCAAAAAAGAAGTTGGGGAGGGATGCTTGGCAGCCAATCAGTCGGCTGACGTGAAAAAACCAGCCGGAGGAAGCCCACGGTGAGCCGCATGGAGGTGGCCCCAGAGTCGATGCAGATGTTGCGGTCCTTGGTATCCTGCCAGAGCCGACGGGACAGCAGCAGCTCACCTGAAGTGAAGTGCAGCCGGGCAGCTACATGGTAGCTCAGGGCTCCTTAAAAGATACATTTTGCCCATTTTAAACACGGCTTTTTCCACCAGAATAAAGGGAAACCACCATTTACAAGTTGCAATGTTCGGGTGAAAAATGCATCCGGATCCCTGTAGCTACCCCCGAATTCTAGCATAGAACTTGACTGGGGGAGGGGATGGGGGGAGGGGTGGCAGAAGACCATTTCCTCTAAAAGGGACCTGCTGGTTTGCACGAGGGGGTTGTCTAAAGTCACGAAGAGCCTTTGTCAAAGCATTGTTCTTCTTTGCTACGGTTGCCAGATGCAACAAACTGTATTGAGCAGCCGTTTGTTGATTATGGTTGTTGTGTTTGATGGGGTCGTTTCGTCGGGAGGCTTAATTTAAAGGACTACATAAGGACAGTTTACTCCAATAATCATGACTCGGTTTGGGCTTAAAGCTCCCCACACGCACATTCTAATTTAGGCTCTTTTTTTTATTGTAGACGGAGAGCCGGGGCTTCCGGATTCCCAAGAAACACAGATCGACCTTGAAACGCTTGGCCACTCCGCCAGTGATAAGCAGCGACTGGGGATGAAGGTGTGTTCTGCCATGTTCCATGGCCGATCCGTTAAGCCCATCGGGGATCCTTATACCAGGTCAAGTGGCGGCCTCAGCAACGCACAATGCCAGGGTATCTGTTTGGGTAGTCCTCAATCGACATTTGGTGGTAGTACTGTTTCATATTCGCATGCTCCAAGGACCTTTATTGGTGTTAAATCCGGCTTTTTCTCCAAGAATTTAGCCTCACCCTGCCCTTTCCATTGGACACCAGCGATAGCATCTGAAGATTTTGCACTTGGTGTACCCTGGAATTGGGCGAAGAGGCGAGAATGGCGCCAAAGCTCTCTCGGCGGACGCGGCCCTTCAGCAGCTCTTGCGCGGCGCTCCCGGCGCACCTGGGACGCCGCGCGGCAAGCGCTCGCTGCAGACCCTGCCACTTGGGACAACTGAGGGGATGAAGTCAGCCCCATGAGAAAGGTTCCTGACTTGAGGATGCCTGGCTCCATGGCCCCAAGGCTCTTTCTTTGGTGCATTTTGCTTGGATGTTAGGACTTTAACTGTTTGCCAACTCGTGGGTTTTCCATTAAACCACTAAAAGTTAAACTTTTAGCAGGGGAGCAGAAAGCAGCCGAGCTTTGGTGAGCTCCAAAGAACGGCGCATCTCAAAATCTTCATTGCCGATTTGTCTGGTGGAATCGGAAAAAGAAAGCCGGGCCCTAACTTCTTGTCTGTCCAGAAAGGCCACCCGCACGTTGCCCGAAGCCCGAAGCGCGCCTACCGCATCCCATGCGGTGTGGCTGGCCGGCTCCGGTTCGCAGGTCCAAGCCATGAGAATCCACCTGCAGAGGTCATGGCCCCATATCACACTTGGTCAATTTTTAGTCATGGCCCCAAAAGGTGATGTGTGTTTTTTTTTGGGGGGGGCAACTGAGATATTTGTTGTTCCCCTGTTGGTGGAATAAACACTACCAGTTTGTCCTGTTCAAAGTGAGTTTCCCCTGATTTGTGAAGCAACCAACTGTTCTTCTTCTGCCTTTTTGCATATGTACTTCGCTGAATTTCCACATCACCGGATTGTCCCATTCAAAGCGAGGTTGCCCCAAGGATATGTTTTGTTGGCATCGTGTCAGGTCCATGATCCTGCAGAATCTCATGGACAATCCTGGGCAAGAGAAGTTCCAGGCCAGTGGCTTGTGCCAAGGCCGACGGTAGCGCAGGTAGATCAGGTAGGTGGCAGACCAAGGTGCGCGCAAAAACTGGGATTGGCTGCTTGTGGGTTGGATCTTTGAATTTTGCTTGGAGAAAAATATTAGATTCCCACTAACTTACAAGTTGAATTGCGGGCAGGTGGCCTTCAAGCTGGCTGGTTTTTTTTTGCATCCCTGGGCTGGCCTTGCTTTGCCGAGTCCTTCCGATGCAGCATTCTTCTTCGCGTTTTGAAATGCATGAAGCGAAGAAGCTAAGACGCTGGGCCCTGGTGAGCGAAGGAACCGTTACCGCCGTCTGCCTAAGACCAAGGTGCAGACACCTAAGGTCTTGATGAACCACTGGGCTGTTTTTTGCAGCGTGTGGTTTTCTCGCGTGCCCAAAGTTTGATGCGGGATGGGCAGATGTTGGTTTTGTTTGTTTCTACAGACCTATGCAAGACCAAGAGCAAACGATTCGGAGCCTGACCTGGCAAATGGCGATGTCAACAGACTCGCTAGCATTTGGTTTTGGCACCCTGCATTCCCTTAGCAGCGCTGTTTGAGCAGTGGATGGTTTTGGAGGTATGCTTTAAATGAAGCGGGTCAATTGGTCTTCCATTTGTTTAAACATATTTGTTGTTTTCCCCTGTTGGTTTGCAAGGGAATCTGTCACTACTGGACTGCTGGAAGTATGATTGTTATGTTTCCTTGGGCTCACTTCCTGAGTTCATGAACTTTAAACTTTTTGAGAAGACCATTTTAGTGGTAGATATAAAGTTTGAACTTGTTTTGGGCCATCCACTCAGCCAGTGAGTGGGGACGTAAGCAAATGAAGGTGGTCAATTCCAAAAGGGCTCCCTTTGCCCTTTGCAGGGCGCTGGGCAACTGGCGGTTTGCGTTGGCCTTGGATCACTTGCAAAACCATTCGCTTCCGCGAGTGGTTGTCTGGATCCGGAGGATCCCTTCTGCATGCTTCGTCACTAATAGCACCTCCGACTTGACACCTAGTGGTAAAACCACTCAAGGTGTTTTTTGGTTTAGGACCTTAGGAATCCCCTGCTTCAGGCTTCAGAACCATAAAACCACTTGCAGACCGGGTTGGTTTGAGGGGATCCTGTGAAAATGAGTGTTTACCTTTTGGTCGCCCTCTAAACCAACCCCAAAGAGAAGGCTTCCTCTGAAAATGAGTGTTTCTCTTTTTGTCTCTCTTTAAACCACCCCCAACAAAAGCAGCTTTCCCTCCATTCAAAAAGATACATTTTGACCCGAGCCAAAAATCGCCACAGACGCTTGAATCCGCCCTGCTCCGCTCCAAGCACGTGAGGAGGTGAACGCCCTGAGCGCTCGCTTCCGCGAGACCTTCGAGGGTACCTCCGGGGCCGCCGGGCAGCTGCTGCGCCTCGCGGGCTTCGAGTGACTGGGATCGACTCGAAGTCCGGTTCGGGCTCTGGACGCGTCGAGTCCGGGTCCGGCGGTTAGCTGACGCAGGGCTCCTTAGAAAAGACAGTCATGTTGCAACCACTTGAAACATGTGCCACTTTTTCCACCAAAATAGAAGGAAGCCACCATTTACAAGTTGCAATGTTCAGGTGTATGATGTAAGGATCCCTGATTGGTGGGAGGGTAAATTTGTTGGGGACTACCATTTGGGAAGAAGTTTGCTGATGAACAAAGGGTTTAGGCTTGTTTTTCCCGTCAATCTACCCAGGAAGTGAGATTATAGTAGTAAATAGAACGTTCTTGTGTTTGTTGGCCCATCTCAAGTGAGTCTTGATAGTTCATGGCCCGACCACCTGACAGAAAGGGCCAAGAGGAACTTGGTCTTCCGGGTGCCCTCCAGTCCCACAATTCTCAGGGGAAAGCCATTTTGGTGTCAGCATTTTGACGGTTTTGACGGTTTTGGGGGTTGTCAAAGTCAGAAAATGGAATCGGTTGTTTCCCTTTAACCCACCACTTCGGGGGTGACTTGATTGGCAAAATGATGAGGCCAGCCATTGTCACCGTCAATTTTATTTGGTGAAACTTTACCTGATTGGATGAGAGGGGAAACGAAGGGCGCCAAAATTGTGCTCAAGGCTTCCTTTTGCGTGGAAAAAAACGTGCAAATATGTTGAGTAGTGAAATGGATTTCCTGCAAAACCAGGGGAAAACCGAAAAAGCTGATTCATTTCAGCAAATGGACGAAGGGTCAGTGGCTTTGGCAACCCCAGCTCCTTCCAAGGCAGCAAGGGGACAGCTTCCGGTGGCCGGATGGCCGTGCAGTGAGCGAGGCGAGGCAGATCCAAGAGATGCTGCAGGAAGCGCTCAGGAAGAGCCCTGGCGTTTTCGCTCGCCCTGGGCGGGGGGGGGGCTGGAAGTGGGGGGGGCGGGGAGGGGGGGGGAGGGGGGCGGGGGGAGGGGCGGGGGGTGGGATGGGATGGGGTGGGTGTTCGGTTTTCTTGCTGGAATGAGTTGGATTGACCCCGTGAAAAAAGTATCACCAAAAGTGATAAATCCCCACTAAGAAAGGACACCCCTATTCATCCACCAGTGTTTTTTTGTTTTTTTGCTGGTTCTCAGCGAATGACCCCGAAAAACAATCCATTCCCCATGGTGTCCTTTAAGGAAGTCCCCTTCCTGTGGCCCTGTGGCCTGTGTTTAGTTGGAGAGCACAAGCCGCCATGTGCAATTTAACGTCTATCCGTAGTCCTTTGTGACTGGTGGTAGTTTAGATCATCTTCTTCTCATTATTTTTTTGGGGGGAGGCACCAATTCAGGTCGGCGTGGCCAGAAAGAGCCACAAGAGGCACCAATGTTGCTCGAGAATAATTTGGCCAACTGGAGTGATTGAAGCAGGGCTCCTTAAAAGACATTCATGTTGCAACCATTTGAAACATGTTGCTTTTTCCACTCCCAAAGTAAAGTTGGAAACCACCATTTACCAGTTGCAATGTTCAGGTGTATAATGCATCCGGATCCCTGTGACGATTGGACGGTGGACGATTTTCCTCTTGAAAAGGCCTTTTAGACGATTGTCCAGTCACTTGATTTGCCCAAAACCCAAGTTGATCCATTTGCTGGGTTCCGTTGAATCTGCCGCTTGAGGTTCCAAAAAGGGAAATGGCTCGGAAACCCTGAACAATCAAGATTCTAATTCCTTAGGCCCATTCCTTTTTTTAGAGACCAGAGGTTTCACCAGAGGTTCCCTTTAAAGGGAACTGGCTCGGAAACCCTGTGTTGTTGACCAAAAACAAGACCAAGGGATCTCCCTTACCTTGTTGGGGGTGGGGGGGGGGAGTGGGTGGTCCCCACTTCCATTTTTCTACTTAAAGGGGTAGAGTACTTAGTAAGTGGTTGGTAAGCCGGGTTATAACCCACTTACCATGGTTGCAAGTCTCCGTTCAGACTTACCAACCGCTACCGAAGTACTCTGCCCCTTTAGGTGACCCACAATCAAATTCCGGGTAGATGAAGGTTAGTAAGGGACAATCCCAACCATAAATAGCTGCGGCCGCCTTCTTAATTCTTGACATGGTTCTGGGTAGACCGTTTTGGTACCGGGTTTTGATTATGACACGTGTAGTCCACTTCAGAGGGAGCAGGTGCCATCCGAAGAGCCGAGGAGCAGCGACGCCAATTCCGCGCCCGCCGCTTCTGCGGCGCCTGCGGCGCCCTGGGCGAGCGCGACGGTGCAAGAGCAGCTGAGTCGGGTGGGCAGCTGAGGGTTTGCCTTGAATAATGCTGGGGTCTCCTCCAAGAATATGTTATATGGGTAATTAGGCTAGATAAGGATCAGAGTCAAAGATAACAATGTTATGTCCTCAGATATGGGTCAACTAGGTCCCCCAGTAGTGCCCTTTTACCGCTCCTTTTTTGGTTGGGAGGGTTCCCCTACTAAAATAGACGATTCAGAAAAAAAAGATCGGGTACCCTTATTCTAACCTCTCTACTGGAGGACCTAGAATACGTCCATTTGCTGAGATGCGTGTTTCCAGGGAATGAAAATGATAGAAGGCATCTATCATGTGTAGCCTTGCGGGCGGCATGTTGGACTGTCTGGGTCAGCTGCTTCATCAGGCTGCTTCATCAAGCAAGCATCGGAAGTTGTTTCCTCGGTTTTACCGCGTTCGCCGCATTTCGCGAGTGAGAAAAAGGGGGCCGCCCGCGCCTGCTGGATGTCCTCGTGACTCGACTCGCGCGTGGCATTCCACAGCAAGCATGCTGTCGACCGCCAGCCCTGCGAAGACTTCACACGCCATCTGAACAGCTGGGCCGTTCAAAAAGGCAAAACTGAATCCTTACCTTGGATTACGAAATGGGCGTCTAGTGGCTTTCCCGTGGCTTGATATTGAGCTCATGGTCCCTAAAGAGGGGCTTGGGCGTGTGGGCCTATCCCTTGAGCCCTTCTTAAGAGGGCTAGCTGCCCCCGCCCCTTACCCCCCCCCCCCCTCTCCAAAGCGTCCATGAGCAGCCTCAGGCCTCGGACGCGACGTATGTCCAAGTTTTCCCGCTTCAGCCACTTGGGATCGATCGCTCGATCGCTCGCGTGGAAGTGGGCGGGGGCAATACCCCTGTTTTGGTGGTTATAATGGAAAACCACTTAGTTCCCCTACTTTGAGACAACGCCATATTTGCATGAATGCAAAAGCACGCACGTGGCCTGAATGGGTTTTCGCCCATCGGATTCTCGCGTTCTTGCCTGCTCGGCCAACCATGGAACTGGGAATCGGCCAACCATGGAACTGGGAATCCCTCATAAGTTGCTCCAAGGGCAAGCCTCTTTTGGATGGCAGAGCTACCCGTTGATTTCCCCTACCTTCGGGGGGGGTGGGGGTGGAATCCACATATTAGCCCTGAAACAGGCGTCTGGATCGTGTGTCCCCGAAACCCTTAGGTGATTTTGTAGGAAGGGGGAGGCTTAGGGTAAAATCCAGGACAAAGACCTGCGGAGGTCGCCGGAGACGATTAACGAGCCCTGAAACAATGACCGCTGACATCCCCTCCTCGAACAAAAAAGGGACACACTCAACAAACAAAGCATGTAACCAACCCAAAACAAATCCACACCCCAAAGAAATCCAAACACTGAAATGAGCAGGGGGGTTCAGGGAAAACTCAAGTAGAAAGGGAGTCCTTGAGGCAATGATTTTGGGGGGCCAGAAACAAGGATCTGTTGCAGCCCACCCCACCCCCCACCCCCGCCACCCCCCAAAGAAATGATAAAGCAACATAAACAAGATGCTCAAGCGTAAAGACTGAAACAAAGCTGCTTGAATCTGGCAAAATCCAATCCATTATTAAATCAAATGGACAATCCAATCAAGCAACACACTAAGCCAAATGGAACATCCGATCCAGCAATACTGAACCAAATGCCAAATCCAATCCAGCAGAATGAAATCAAACGGGAAATGAAACGGAAACGTAAATCCCTCATAGCCTCAAATCCAGTTTCAAAAGGCAGCTCCAGCAATACTAAATCAATTTGACATTTCAGGTTGGCCCCAGCAACGCTTTGCAGTTTGAAACCAATTGATTTGGGGGATCAATGATCAATTGTTTTAGGGGACCCATTGTTCATCTGGCGTTCCTTTGAGTTGCCCTGTAAACCAAGAGAGTGACAAGGGTTCCCGTCAAAAACACACCCAAATGCGAACGGGAACCCAAAAGATAAAACAGGGGCGTCCGATTTGTTGTTCCACAAACCGTATTCGGCCAATTTCCGGCCAGACCAATCCCAGGAATCCGCCCCCCGGCCTTTTCGGAGGCGTGGATGAGACGGAAGCTCTGAAGCGGAAGGCCCAGAGCCTGCTGCCGGACCTGAACTTGGTGCTGGAGCGCTTGCGGAGCGGCATGGAAGGCGCGAAGAGGAAGCCGGCGAGTGGTAAGAGGGAAACCACTCAAGGGATGCGCCCGAAAAACCTGGCCGTGGCTCAAAAAAGTGGTGCCAAAATGGCACCTTGAAGTAAATGGAAGCAAAGACTAAACCTGCGTCACCGTAGCTCTCTAATTTTGAGCCATACCCACTTGACATTCTCCCCCTGCGAATCAATCTGAACCCTTCGCCTTCCCCCCCACAACCCCTCGCCTCCCCAATAAACCGCTATTACGGAGCCTGGGGCCTTCTCCTTCTTCCCCCCCATGCACATATCTTGGTGGGAACGCCAACTTGGGTGCCTTTAGAGGTGCTTAGTTGGGTTTAGTGATTGGGTTGTTGCATGTAACTTGCTAAAGGATAGACTTTTGGGGGGGAATCTGAAGACAGCACAGAGGTGGTAAGCCAACCAAGGGGCCAAGTATTGAGCAAATGGACTTTCCTGGTTTTCCAAGTTTTCTATGCCTGCTTCTTTTGCTTTTTTTGGCCCGAAAAAGAACTGGGGCACCGGGGTATTGACACCAGCCACCAGTTGTGCGCAGGGCTGTGGCAATGACGTTTCGCACGGGAGCCTCCCCCCTCTAAGTGAGGATTTAGGAATTGGGAAGGCCTGTAGTATCACACGGGAAATGCCCGACCGAGGCCTGTCTTCTTCCGAGGTAGAGCGCTACACGGCTGCCTTTCTGCGATTCAAGGATCCTGATGGCCCAGAAATGCACAAGGAGCTTTGGCACAGCATGGCTTGTCAGCGTGTTTGTTTTTCGAATTTTGGAAATCACCGCCCATGTTTGCTGGGTAGCGGGTCTGGAGTTTACCCAAGGTCGAGCAGCCAGACGAAATCGGCAAAGACATTGTGAAGCAGGTTTTTTTCTGAGAATCTTCCCACTCCCTGGTTTCGGAAGAGCAATTCATGGTTGTTGTTGGGAAACATTTTACATTTTTGCTTATTGTGGTTTGAAGGGAAATCCCCACTCAACTACTAAAATGTAATTTTTTGCTCCCCTTCCAACGTCAACCAAGAATTTGCCCAGGGCTTGTGGCCAACTTGTGTCACGCCACTTCCCGTAGGACGAGCTGCCCAATGTGCTGGAGTTTCTCGGGTTTCCCAACCCAGACGCCCAGAGGTGTCGCTCACTCGCGGAGCTCTGGCCGAAGCGCATGGTTTTGCGTCTGGGTATGATGGCTCTGGTTGGTTCACATGTGTTGCGCTGGATCCTAAGTATTACTCTACACCGGGGAGTGGGTAGATAGCACAATGCCCTTGTAGGTAAAGCGGGATGACACCAATTCAGACTTGCGAGAAAATTCACGATGGCTCCAGACCTTCTTTGACGCACTGACGGTGCCCCTAGGCGAGCAGTTTTGGCACTGCTGCTTGAGGCCGAATCAGTATCAACATGACCAGGACATAATTGGCTTCAAGTGCCCTCCCACCAATGAGCACGGAACCTAACACGGGATTCCTGGTATGGTTCATTTTCCTTTTACAGGCACGCTTTTCGGTTCCGCGTTGATTGGCGGGAGGGTACCCCACGGGTACCCCACGGGTACCCCACGGGTACCCCACAACCCTATTCTGTTTGGGCCCTTGTGCTATTCGCCATTCGCCATTGCACGTTGGCTTCAGAAGGGAAACGAAGACCAAGCACATCTCGGATGAACAAGCACCCCGCCCCCCCCAGACCTCCTGCAAGTCAACATGGAACCCTGAAAGTCGCTCCTCCACAATCAAATTGCTCTAAAAGCACTGGATGTGTGGGTTCCATGTTGGTTAGAACCTTTGGGCAGGTGGCTTGTGTGTATTGGATGTCTAGTGATAGGTGCGCTTCAAATACGTGCCGAGATATAGAGACGCGACACAGGCAGAGACAGACGGGCAGCGAGAGACACAGGGAGAAAGAGAGAGAGAGAGAGAGAGAGAGAGCGGGACAAACGGATGTATAGATGTTAGCATATGGATTGTGTCATAACATAGCGGCCCTCCCCCGCCCGAAAATGGTGGCGTTCCTTTGGCATCCCCTTCAACCAACCTAAAACGGGGGTACCCTCAAAGCCCATTTGTCGAAACCTCGAAACTGCCTTGGGACCCGGAAGAACTGGTGGTTCTGCTTGGTGTCCCTTTCAACCAACCCCCAACAGGGTACCCTCGAAAAATACACCCCCAAGATTAAGAGATGATCAGGCAGTGGGTCAAAAATATCTACCCAAAATGGGAAGCCTGGTAAACGGAAGCATGGATTAAACCTGTGGTCCCATTGTGGTTTAATTTTGACCCACAGCCATCACCCAAGGCTAGAAACTCGCTTTGCTTTCGCTGGCCAAATTATGGCCCTCGTGCTGCGAGCAATCCCGGGCGAAGGACCAATGCGCCGACTATGAAACTGTGGCGAAGTCCGATTTTATGCCTCTCATTTGCACATGGACTTTTCTCTTTTTGAGGGTGCCCTTTTGAGCGTGGCTGTAAAGGGAAACCAAACAATACATTTCGCGGATCGCGGTTTTCGCGCTTCGGTGGTTTAAAGACGGGATCTCCTTCCATAGGTTTGGAATCAAAGGGAATTTTGGCCTGCTTTCAACGTCATGTTTGTCCTTGCAATGACTTGAATCACAGAAAGTTAGACCAGGTGTTGGTGACAGAGTGCAGACGACGGTTTCCCTCCAAGGACCTTTATGGAGAGATATGTGGAATGGGAGCGCTCGCGCTACAGGGACCGGAGGGGTCGAGGGGCCGGTCGAGGGGACTGCAGGGATCGGCGAGCCGACGGGACCTCTTTTAGCATCACTCCAGAATGCAAACTCTGCTAGGTCCCCCAGTAGTGCCCTTTCTCACCCTTTTTTTGGAGGGAG